AAACTGGCAAAAGTGAGAACAAAGAGTTTCAGTTTCAGGTGGTAGAGTTCTCACTTTTTTTTCTTTTGTTGTACTGCATTCTGATTTTACAAATGTTTTAGATTTATGTAAGTTTTAAAAGACAACATGCAATATATTACACATATTCAATGTGATAGTGTATATGTAATTTTTGTATGCTGTAGTAATTATGTTGGTTTAGTGGTCATGATTACAAAACAAGTACTTGAATGACTACATCATATAAGGGAAGGAGGGGTGTACATATTTTGTTACCTGTGTACTACTGATTAATTTGTAGTATTTGAACTTTAACATATGCATTAATCAGGAGCATATTATAATGCTGTATTGCAATGTGTTGTGCATTCTAGAGTAGTACACATTATTTAACCTTTAGACATGTACAAACGTAGAAAAAGAAATGAAAAAATATGTAAGTAAGTGTGCTTAAAATTAAATTGATTTGATAGTATCCTTTCCAAACAGTAATTACTATTAAATTTATGATCACTTTTTATCAATATTGATATCAAACGTGGAGGCCTTAACTACATGTGAGCAAAAGTAATTTATTTGTGTATGGAATTTTGTAACCATCTTACTAATGAAAAAAGATATAATAAACAAAAAAAAAATTTCTTTTATAGAAATAGCTTTGTTTAATAAACAGTTAGGGACCTTATAAGTTGCCTTTTTGTTATTATTTTTATTATATGTGTTACACATTTGAAATTTATGGTAGATTCTTTGGGCCTGTGGGTACATTGTAAGAGTGATAGTGTAATCCAGCTGTTTGGTTTAAAGTAGTTTAAGAATTGGCAGTACTACTATAGCATGCAGTCTACTGCAGTATCCGTAGTCTACCAAGACCCACCTGACCCTATTACCCCTACCCCAGAGGGATCATAGAAGACCCCACCTGACTTGACCTGTCTATTTAACTACGTGGACCCTAACCAACCTTATAAAAGGCGAGAACATCAGTCTAACACATTTTACCCTCTACAATACTGTTGAAAGATTTCTACAGAAGTGTCATGTTGACAGAAGAAACCGCAGTTGCATTTTTACGTGAAAAGGATGTGGTACGAAGCATATGTCATTAAAAATAATTATGTAGCCCATTTTTGTGTTGTTTGTTTTTTTATCATAATAATGATATTAATAAATTATTTAGCAGTGTAAATATCCCAGGTAGACTCCTATTATTCATCAATAATAAATTATTTAGCAGTGTAAATACCCCTAAGTAGACTGC